CTGTGACAAGTCGTGGCGGCTCGAGCCCGATTCAGCTTTGCGTACCGTACAAAACACGCCGCAAGTCGACGCATTCTTCTCCTCGCATCTTGCTGCAAAACAAATGATTTCTTCGACAGCATCGTGCGACATGATTTCGGATCTTCTTGACGGGGCTACCTAGACACTCGTTCCCGCCGTCGCAACCCGATCTCACTTTTCCTTTTCGCTTCTCTTATACAAGCACCACCTCCACCGACATGCGCACTGCCATCATCTTTGCGACGATCATGGCTGCGACCACCAACGCCAACGCCAAGCTCACGCCCGCCGAGCGCAAGGAGCTCACGGCCGACTTGAAGCAGTGGCAGACCCTCTTTGGCGACTCTGCGCAACGCAACGGCTTCGTTCCCGAAGGTCTCAGCCTCGACACGCCCAACGACGAGCTCCTCGTCCGCATGAAGGCCGCCAAGCAGCGCGTGCCCGAGCTCGCCAAGGAGAACCCGGACGCCTCCTTCACCCACCTCTCGCCGCTCGCGCTCCTCACCAAGGACGAGTTCAAGCACTACGTCATGAAGTCGTTCAAGCGCGGCAAGCGCGCGCTCCGAGCCGACAAGGTCGACTGGGCCAGCGTCGGCGCCGCGTCGGCCTCTGGTGGCGTGGACTGGACCAAGGACTCCAAGTGCGTCAACCCCGTCAAGAACCAGGGCAACTGCGGGTCGTGCTGGGCCTTCTCGGCAACGGGCACTGTCGAGTCGGCGCACTGCATTGCGACTGGGACGCTCCTCGACCTCTCGGACCAGCAGACCACGAGCTGCGCCAAGAACGGCAACTTGGGCTGCGAAGGCGGCCTCGAAGACCGCGCCATCACGTGGATCCACGACAACGGCGGCATCTGTCTCTCCAAGGACTACCCGTACACGTCGGGCAAATCCGGCCAAACCGGCTCGTGCAAATCGTCGTGCACCAAGCAGAAGCTTGCGATTGGCGCGACTGTCAACATCAAGGGCGAGGGGCCGCTCGAGACGGCGCTCAAGACGCAGCCGGTCTCTGTGGCCGTCGAGGCTGGCAACCAAGTGTGGCAGCTCTACAAGAGCGGTGTCATCTCCAAGTGTCCTGGCGCGCAGGTCGATCACGCCGTGATTGCGGTCGGGTACGGCTCGGAGAA